CTTCCACAGCAAACTATGCAAGGCCTACGCCCAGCTCGGCGCACGCGGCGTCTCCGTCCTCTTTGCCTCCGGCGACAGTGGCGTCGGCTGCCAAGACAGCAACACCACCCTCTTCCAGCCGACCTTCCCCTCCAACTGCCCCTACGTGACGTCCGTCGGCGGCACCGCCGGCTCTGGCCCAGAGACGGCCTGGGCGGGGTCCTCTGGCGGTTTCTCCAACTACTACGCCGCGCCGTCCTACCAGGCCTCCGCGGTCGACGGCTACCTCACCGCGCACACGACCTCGGCCAACTACAACGCGACGGTGGGCAAGTACAACCCCGTCGGGCGCGGGTTCCCGGACGTGTCGGCGAAGGCGGACGACTACCGCGTGCAGGAGACGTCGATCGCGAGCATCTACGGAACGAGCGCGTCGACGCCCGTGTTCGCGAGCATCATCGCGCTGATCAACGACAGGCTGTCGGTGAAGGGCAAGCCGCCGCTGGGATTCCTGAACCCGTGGCTGTACTCGACGGGCAAGAGTGCGTTCACGGACATCACTAAGGGCAATAACTCGATCGAGTGTAACGGGGAGACGGCTGGCTTTGAGGCCGTCGAGGGCTGGGATCCCGTATGTCTCCTTGTTTTCTACGTTCTGTTCTTCGAGGTGCTCATCGCGCATTCGTCTGTTGCAGGTCACCGGTCTCGGCACGCCCGACTTCAACAAGCTCCTCAAGGCTGTCGGGCTTTAGGACGCTACGCTGTGCGGTCCACTATGCAACATACCATGAGTGGTCCCCATCGTTTGAACTATTACGTCCGCTGCGTCTCTCATAAGTCGATTGGGACTGCGACGACATCGTTTCGGTTGCCTTCTAGACTTGACTACATCTGTCGTTCGTTGTTTCATTTCGCAAAATGCACTCGGATTACGACCACTCGACGCGTAATTTGCCCATGAATATCCTGTCTGCTGTTCGTTGCGCGAGGTAGCGGCCCATGATGAATCGGCAATGGGCAATTTTGTAATGACTGGGGTCTGTGTGAACGATGAAATTCTGAATTTAGCACAAGCATCTTGGTCGACAACAAATACATCTTTTGGACGCTAGCGGTTGGGGACAGTATGTAGCAGCTATTGTCCTGTCACTGAGCCTCTGCAAGTGATCGATTCTTTGAGGGCTTTTCCCAATGGACTATCCCACCTATCGCTTGAAGGGAACTTCTGTGTGCCTCTTCTCCACCTCACTTCTGCGAGCATGTCTCTGGCGTTGCTTGTGATGTCCATATCATCTTCAACATCTCCACCGAAGATGCCGACGAACAGGCAGTGCTGGAAGTGCTGACGGAGGAACCAGCGAGTTTCTTCGTCCTGAACGTGGACTGCCGGGGAACGAGGTAGACTTGTCTGTAGGGGAGAGGAGGAGTCGAAGAGGTAGATCTTGTCTTGTGCCTATTCCACAAAGGCAGTGCCTCAGCAATGAATACAATAGCACTATGCCTTAGATATAGGACAACAAACTTACATCTATATCAATGCCAAAAGCGTTCTTATAGAATGCACTGTAGACATCGTCTCTCATCATGATCAAGTTTTTCGGTGTTGTGAAACTTTCTTCCGTCCACTTTGACTTATCAGCGCGAGGTGCTGCATGCTGAGGAGCAAGGATTATTGTTCAATTTTACGTCAAAGCCAAGTTCGAAGTGTGGCAAGGAGAAACATACCCAAATCGCCAATCGAGGCGGGTAGATCCACCCAATACGGGTACACGGCGTAGTGTCCAAGCCTCCCGTGCCGTCCCCCTGAAATCTGGTCACAATACACTGTCCCCCATTGTTCGGGAATGTACTCGCTATCTTCTTTAGATCCGAACTAATTTCACTATGATGCTAAGCATATTCTGTCAGTTATGGCTCGTGCTCCCTTCTCTCAGCTCACTCACCTTGTCTTCAAACTTGAGCGACATTTTAGAGAACGGAGCTAAATCCTTCAGGGTTCGGAAACAGTCATGCAACTCGTCGACGAATTGTACTTCGAATATGTCCTCTTCGCCCTTGACGAAGAGGATATAATCTCCTGGTCCCACAGGATCCTCATCGTGCAATGGGTCGCCTATGGGTGGCAGAATGGGGCGGCACCTCAGAGCCACCATCATACTAGTATGATCAAAGGGCGTAAGATTTACAGCCGCCATTGCAAACTGATGAGTGCTGTAAGGAGGACATAAAGGCGGCACGGATTGCTTGATCCAGCGGAGCAGGGTACCGACGGGGATACGACCAATGGTGCTACTATTATAACCTACATGTGACCAGCGCACACGCGTCAGTATAGCACTTGATACCGTTATATAGTGGATCCTTACAGCCCAAAAGGTTACTAGAAGACCACAGGAAAACATCCGCCTGACGTTGCCGGGCTAACCCTGTCTGATGCGCGAGGGCGATGCGGAACTCTGAGGTGTTACTTTCTGTGGTCATACTCAGTTTGATTTTTGCAAGGCTTGTCCAATAGGGAATGAGTATGAGAGCTACGGGGGGTTATCTTGGTATGCTGTGGTTGAGTGTGGTAGTGATGTGAGGTACAAGAACAACCGCAGAATCGATGAATATATATGATTCAGATTAGGCGCCATTGCGGCTTCTTCAGCGTGACCGCTCAGTGGCTTCTATAGAGGACATCACTGAGTCAAGTCATGCATCACTCACGGTGGAATGTGAGATCATTTGATGGGCGGGTGATGACTGAGGTCGCCAGAGCGAGGATGTCTACCGAGTTAGGATACATCCGAATCTCCGACCATTAATGCTGCTAGTATGGCGGTATCAAGGGGTCCTCCACTCAGAATCCACAACTGAGGACAATTCATACAGCGCCTTGCAAAACGATAGCGCATTCCCGGAAAACACGCCCAGGGATTTGCCAGATCCGCTCACTTGTAAGGTAACAGTCAAGTGCCCAGTCGCTACGGGCCGTCCCCAGGTGCTGCCCCGCCATTTACTTCCTAACAGACTCCAACGTCTATCGAGGTTGTGAGACACTTCTGAGGTATATGCACGCCGTTTAATCATAAACTCAACAGCTTGGAACATTCTCTGCCCATGTGTACCGTGACGAGCGAGATTGAACCGTGAGGGACCCATCCCCGAGGAATGTGGCGCACGGTGGTGCTGAGAGCGCTAGACTACCTGATATGGGGCTCGGAGTCCGGAATTTCCTGGACGTGTTTTTCGGGCATGCACTATCATTTTGCAAGGCGCTGGAAACACGTTCAGGAATTTCTGCACCCCGACCCCCATATGAGGCAATCTAGCGCCCAACTCTACGCCACAATTCTCCAAGGCAGGTCTTTCTTCTTCTTCTTCTTCTAGATCCCGTTTATTGCCCTGCGAGGCCGAGCCTCATGGTAGGCAGTAAATACATTGTTGTCTACTTGGGTGATGATGGAGGTCGGCGGGACATAGTTGAGCAGGATGCTCATGCAATCTAAGGGTGTGTGGTGGGAGAGATGTCGATGAGGGATGGTGCAAGGGGATGTGCCAGGGTACAGACAGGGGCGAGAGTGAGACGTTCGAGTACGTAAATGGTGTGGAAGGGGGCAGGGCTCAGGAAAGGTGCGTTGCGGACGTCCGCCCAGTCCCGGCCATTTAAGGCAAGGGAACGGGCTATAAACCTGCGGCCTTTGGGTGCGGTTGCGCCCCTGGGTCTCGCCTCTTGCGCCGGTCAGGTGTACGTCTGGCGGTATCCCCGCCATCCGTCAGAACTCCCCCGCCCCTAGAGCGGGCGGGCGCCCGCAGCGCACATTTCCGGTGGGATCTACGAGAGCGCAGTGAATACATGCAATGGGGTCAACTATAGGATAGCGAGCTA